AGAATCTCCCTTTTTCGGAGATGCACTCCTGGCGGTCTTTCCACTATCAGGCTGGGAGGAGGAAGACATATCAACCGGTCGTGGAGGACCCATTGGTTCAGGAGGAGGAGATGATCGAGGTGAGCGGTCAGTCCGGGCCCTCGACTTTTCCCTCCGTGGAGAAGAGTCGCTGCGAGAGGACTTGTCTCTCTTCCGGCGAACCAAGTTCTTAATTGGTTCGTTACTAAAATCATCTCGGGGAGGACGAGGTGAATCACGGCAAGGAGATCGATCCCTCCGAGGAGAACGTGAGTCGCGACGATCGCGACGAGGAGTTAATCTGAAGGAAGCGACAGATCGAGCTCCCTCGGTGCTGCCATCATCAACCAGCAAGGTTCTACTGTAGTCCTTCTTGTCTATAGAAGTCGCGAGAAGCTTTTTCTTCTCCTCGCAAGCCTCAGCCATCGGCTTGGAAAGCAACTTACGCTTGGCCGCAAGGGCCCGAGATGACATTCCCTGAGTTGAGGGAGGGGGAGGAATTTGGTGAAGATGACCAGGCGGACTCATCCTGAGTCTGTGGTTAGCTTCTAGGAATCGCTCAAGAGTGAAGGAATTCCAAAGGGTTTCCCCTTCAAGAATTATTTTGAAGAATTCGATGAACTCTTCAGATGGGAGATTGGAAGCGATGAAAGCTGCGAAATGAAACAACGGTGTTAGTCAATAAAGATAAAGAAACAATCGGGAAAGATACGGGCAACCTAATCACTACCGGGTTTCGCAGACCACTTCGAAGGGAGAAAATCTGCGAGATTTCCAATCGAAGCGGGAGTTTTCTTAATTAGAAACCAAGGATGATGCCAATTTTCATCCTTGTTCGGGAGATGTGAAATGATGTTCCTGTTGGCATTAGGATATGCTGAGAAATACCCCGTTTTCTTCGATGAACTTCTCACGCTCAGAAGCTCATTTAGTTCAGCAACTCCGATAACGTAACCGGCCTCCGCCGCGATTGTTATAATTCCAAGAATAGTACGGAGAAGATTGGGGGTTAATTGAGGAAGAGCGATTTCAAGAGCCGCTAGGTATAAAACAAGGGCTTCGGGAAGAGGAAAGGTCAACCCGCAACCCTTGAAATAAATCTCATACACACAGAAGTAACCATCGCGATGGTTCTCCGGGGATTCTGTGGGGGAAGCTATTTGTGCTTCCGCCATAATTTCCGGTGGAATCCTGCAAAGCTCTTTCAACCGCTCGAGGGATTGAAGAGTACAAGTGGACCTATAATGCGGACCGGCAATATCATCAGAGCGGGTGAACTCGTCATTGCTAGAACGCCTCTCATCGAAAGACGGAGACTCAGGTCTATCGGAATCGGAAGTCATTGGGAAGAAAGAAAAATTCAAGATCCGGCGAAGAAGGGTTTTGGTGAAAGAACGAAGAGAGAGGTTTTGATTAAAGTACAAAAGTAAAAGAAGAGAGTAATGGTGAAAAGAAGTTACCTCAGGCTAATGATGAAACCGTCTCGGAAGTCGTGTGGGAAGTGGGAAGGTTTTTTCCCATTTTAATAGTAATTAATCAATATACGGTCATAATGATGACAGATGTCATTTGGTTAAAAATGGCTAGCGCCGAAATTAAAGGAATGATGAGATTTTCGGCGGGAAATCAGAAAGATTCTCGAGCGCAATCTTTGGCCACTTGAGCATTTAAAGTCCTCCGAATTGGAATATCACTTCGAAGAACTTGGGGGGCTAATTGTTGGTGTCGGATCCCGCACCAGAAGTCCGCGACCAACCAAAGATTGCCACGTAGTCAAAATAGTGGCCCATAAAGGACGAAGCCCAATGGACCCATGAGTCGAAGGAACGGTCGAAGTGGTTGTCACCACTTCGAGAATCCGAAGTGATTACATTGCGACATGAGTTTGATGAAGAAGGCATGGGTAAGATGGTTCAAGGATATTTGGGCCGAAAAGGCGGGGCCCACGAAGATCAGAGTCAACTCAAATTCAAACGTTGAGCATTAAAGTCAAAGAATCAAAACGGACACATTTAAGAAGGAATAATTGTGCTTAATTACTCATTTTAATGTCGCTTCTCTATGTATAAATATAGAGGCCAATGGCCATGTAAGGGGATCTTCCTCTCAAAAAAAGAAATAATATAGCAATTTTCGTAACAATTCACAAGTTTTTATACATTCATTTTTGTCCCTCAAGAATAATCTTTCCCGCTTAATAAAATACTTGAGTGTGTGAATCCGACATCCACAATCGGGTTGGGTATTTATGCGCCTATAAAATTTATTTCAAAGGGTGCGGCCTATTCTTCCCTCCTCCCAGATGTGCTGGTGATGTACCTTCAACTCCTGAGAATTGTTCTTCTGCAACTGCACTCTATTTGCTTCACTCAATCCTCGGGATTTTTATCATAGCGGCGGAGGCGGGCTACTCTATTAGCACCTTCGAACTCTTGGATTTCATTCAGGCCAGGGCCTCACCTAAAACTCCTGGTAGAAATAGGGCTTTATTTGATTTCCTATCTTTTGTTTGCTTGTGATTCCTAAGGATTAATCATATATCTCTTGTCCTTCTCTATCCGAGGCCTTTTTATTTCTTCAAATTCGTTATTGAGGGTGATACCTACTCGAATTCATTCCCCCTTGAACGCATCCATGGAGCTGGTCGTCTAGTAAGAATGGGTGAGCTTCAGTGTTTTCAGTTTTCACGCCCGACCCGAACCGCCGGTCCGACCGGTTAACCCATAACCCATACACTTTTCCGGTTTGGGTTTAGTGCTAATATCCGCCAATTTCAAAACCGCAAAAACCCACAAAAACCCGCTATTAACCCGCGACCCAGTGAACCGGTTGAACCAGCTGGGTATGGGTTTTAAAATTATCATTTAATTTTGGAATAAAATATAGAGTTTTAGACTCTATTTAGTTATTTTTAGAATTTTTTTTAATTCTTAAACTCAATTGATGTTTTAGATTTTGATGAAACTTCACTGTACCGTCTAAGAAGAATAGATGGAATGGTGAAAGAAATAATCGAGATTAGTTGTTTTGAATTCGCGATGTTATATTAGTTTATTTCCGTCATTGGCGATCTCCTACTATTTTAATATTTGTTACGGTTTTAGACTTTTACTTGGATTTAAAAATTTAATTTGAATTACTTTATTATTATTGTTAGACTTCATATTTTGTAAATATAGTTTGTATATTTTATTTTTATATTTATAAAAACTATATAATCTCTTTAAATATTAAATATATTAAATATATTTTAATCAATTGACCCGTGGTCGAACCCGGTTGATCCAGTGACCCGGTGATCCAGAAGGTAGTCCGGTTCACTATCTGGGTCGGGTTTAAAAACACTGGTACTGAGCTTGGAAACATGCAGTTATGCACTCTCCTCCTCTTCAACAACCAACTCATGGCCTTTCTGCTCGGGAGAGAAGGGTGAGGGACAAAGCCCTTCAGGACAAGATTTCGGCCTTTAACAAGGAAAAACGGCAGAGCATGCATGTTATTCTCGATAAAGAGTACCACAAAACTTTATTGGTCGACAACGGATATTCTGAGGGTACCCGATCATTCTTTTCTACTAGGCCGACTCCTCGCAATAATCCTCATCGGGCTCCATCTCCTCGAGAGAACCCTCCGTTAGCTCCGTCTCTTCGCAGTAACACTCCCCCAGTTTTCTCAGGAAGCGGTTTCAGCAACGAAACCCTAGCCAATTTTGTTCAAAAGAAGAGAAAAGCCAATGACCTCCTTTCTCCTCGGAGTGGTAAGGTCTGGCCCCGAGGCGACGACACAGGTACATAAACAGATATACTAACTTCCAATATTAAAGATATGATACATCATTATGTTATGATGAAAGTCTCATAGAGAAACATGATAATTAAAATTCTAAAACATGCTAACTAAAATTCCAAACATGATCTAATTATATTACACAAACTTAATTCATCATCCAAAGATGATACGTTTTATCGAAATTCGTCTTCTGCTTGAGCGTCTTCGATTTCCATTCATAATCAATGTTATAATTTACGTAACCGTTTTTTGATTCTTAACCCGCTTGGTTTTTCTTCTAAGATAGAAATAATGAAATCGGATCAAGCAGTATGTTTGACTTATTTGTGAAGATAGTTAAATCGTCGCAAAAGTTATAGTACTTTCAACTCACTTTCACATTTTAGACATTTCTAACAACTTATTTTACCGACTAATTTGCAACTAAACTGTACTTGCGACTCGCTTTTATAACTTAAACATGAGTCTTTTATTCATCTTAGAGTGCAACTGGTTTGCGACTATTGATATATATGCAAAAAAATAGTCGGAAAATGGTCGCTAATAAAAGACTGAATACCGACTATATATTTCAGTCATAAATCTGCGACGACTTTGCTTCCATTTTCAATGCAGTCGTTTATAAGTCACGAAAGAAATCACAAATCCGTCGCTAAAATGCAGGTTTTGTAGTATATAATTATATATGTGATGATAAGTTTATCACTAAGATCATCACATATAGATTGGAAAAAATGCTTCCAGATCATATTCTGCATAACCAAAGGCATTCGTTAAAGACATATTGCTTCCAAAAAATGTCCTCCTTGCATATGAACTTCTTCAAGGCTATCATTTCGAATAGGATTGCAATCAAAGTTGATATCTCCAAAGCTTTTGATACGGTTATATGGGAGTTTGTTCTAGCCACGTTTGAAGCTAGCTAACTCCCAAGGCAGTTCATACAGTGGTATCAGTCTTGCATATATTCTCCTTCCATCTCAATGAGCATCAATGGAGTGACATTTGGATACTTTAAGGGACAAAACGGACTTCGACAAGGAAACCTGCTCTCTCTGATTCTTTCTATCATCATAATGACCGTGCTTTCGACTATGCTCGACAGAGCAGCAGCAGTCAATTTGATTATCATCCAATGTAAAATCTCGACTAGATTTCCATTTAAAATTTAGACTATTTCCATACTGTCTAGCTAAGTTATTTTTGTGAGAAAAAGAACACTTGCCACAATCTAAATAAGTTTTCTAGACCCGAGTATCAACAGAACTTAAGAATTGAAAAGGTGTCTAAGTTACATGTGTCGTAGATAGATGTATCTATAACATGGCTACAGTGATGGGACCTTAATTTGACGGAAAATAAGTGGTGAGCGTTTTACTGGATTGAGCTATAATTCATCTGCATCGTCGTCCTCCTCATCTTCTGAGTCTGTTTCACTGAATTCAGAAACCAAAATGCAGAACCATATCAGATTTCTTATCATGGTTTTGAGGCAGAACGATGTAGGAAGACAAACTATTGTGCTAACCTTGATTGGCTGCAGTGGTTACTTAAAGTTTGACACAGAACCTTGCGGACTTCTCCTGCTTTCAGGGAGCCATTCTTTATTACCTCGCCAAGCTGCAATCGCTCATCAATATCAACTATATTTGGTCAGACCCTAACCGTCAATTAAGAGAAAGGTTTCCAGAATGTTTACCTCATCTTCAGTTTCTTCAAGCAATCTGTAACAAGAAATAACATATAACGACTTTGATGAATTTGAAGCTGGAAAAAGATACTGAGACGACCCATATAACGGACCTGAGGAGGTTCTTGATTGTCTTACCTTCCACAATAAGTTGAAATGTCATTTGCATGCGCTTTAGCTTCCTGTTTATCTACTTGCCAACACACACACACATGAAACATTAATGCCAAACAAGTCTCTAAACCACTAATATAACTAGAGATGAGGATTTCACAGCTACAATACTTATTCTAGAATTTTCAGCATCATGAAAGCTCTCTAACAGTTACTCAGTTGCTCAACAGAAATTACAAACAGATAAGCGGACAACAGACATGGTGACAGTGTGTTCAAGTAGACAACTGGATACGCTACAGACCAACCGTCTTTTCCATTGACTCATCAAACAAGGCACCTAAGCTTACTTTATCAAATAGCATAAGTCTTAAAGCAGCTAGACAGGCCTACGGAAAGATATCTGATGAACAAATGCAAATATGTCACGGAGCGCAAATTTAAAAAGGAAAGGAAAGAACACATTACTTGTTAGATTGTCAAAATTTCCCACTTTCACCCATTGTCTATTCTTAGATTCCACCTGCAGAAGTGAGCCACAAGAATCTCATTGGTCAATTTACAATGATCAGAGAGATATTATTATTCCTGAAAATTTACAAAGATCAGAATTCTACAAGAACTCGGCTTACTTTTTGTAGAGTATAGTCCTGCATTCTATCACACAGCCCGTCCAACAAATCAACCACCCTCAGGTCGCTTATTCTATTTGAATTCAAAAGAAAGAACGAAAATTACAGGATCATCCACTGTAAGAAACCTGCCTATAAAAGCAACATAGCTAATCCCAAGAACTCTTAGTGTATCGATCGTTGTTTCACAGACACTCTTACCAGTGTCCACCTATTAGTTTCTTTCCCTTTCGTCATTGCTCCTAACTACATATTCATGTTACCCTCGTTAGGAATCACATTTTAAAACTCCAGTCAAGCTTTCAATCCAAACTTCTACTTGTGATAAAGATCACAATTACAATGTAATCATGCAATGCACATAAAATGAGCTCAGGAAATTATCCTGTCCCATGTGTCCAATTTATCATACCGATTATCAGGATGTGCACATAGAAACAAAGAATACACAAATCAAAGAAGAAATGGTCTCTTTCCCAGATAACGCAGAATGAGGCTACAATGTGTTGTACCTGTAATCAATAACCTTTCCTTCACGCTGGCCTTTAGAATTTAGCCGGTTTCTCATATCAAGATGGTTTCGTGGCTTTTCCTGTTTAGGAGTTTATAATAATATCAAGTTACTAAAAAGTACTTGTAAGCATTGCGACAGAAAGAGAAGAGAAACGTTGAAGCAGGCTTAATGTTATAATACAAGATGACAGAAATTAGAGAAGTTCTTACCTTTAAAAGCTGTAACTCTAATTCCTCCTGCACAACATCAAGCACCCTTATTAGTATCATTAAGGAAGGTATACTCATTCTCAAAATCAAGAAAACAAACCCTCTTTTCACATAACCAAACGCATGAATTGGGAGCAAAATAACTATTTGAAAAAGAACATGTGCACAGTCTAAAACAAAACCAAGTTCCAGATTGCAATTTCTTACGAAACATCCTCAGAACCCAAACAAAGAACTCAACCATATATGTTGTCCTCCAATTTACTCTACTTCCCCAAAAAAAATGCCGATGACGAAAAATGTCGAAATTCATGTATAGAATCAGATCAAAATCTAGCAAATCTCATGTACATATATTTGCAATCGCTGTATAAACTCGCCCGCCCTAATTCGTCAAGAGATTTATGAGAAAACAAAGAGAGGAAAGTTAGAGATTCCGACGTACTGCGACGGCGTTACAAGCGGCGCATTTGTCATCGACGGAGGCTCCGTGGGAGATAATCGCGATAATAACGGCGGTGAAGAGCATCAGCTTCGCCATTCTTACGCAACCTGTTCCGATCTGTGTCTCTTCTGATTTTTGAAAATGTAAGAAACACGTCATCGCTTTGCTACGTTGCTACGAACCAATGAAATCAAGAGATTAAGCCACGTCGGACACCTCTACACTTTGTTGGCACTGGCAATGCAGGGAGGGAAGACCCTAGCTTTCCGAATAATTCGGTTACCAAAATTAACCAAATAAAAAATCCAGTTCGGTTATCAGTTTATTCGGTTATTTTTTGGGGTTAAAAACGATTTATTAGGTTATGTGTCTAAAATCCTTACAAATTTTCTGTTCGGTTTAGAAAGTGTTTTTAAAAGAATTTTGTTATCTTTTCATGAAATTCGGTTTACTTTGGTGTAAGTTGGTTAGGGAAATTCTTAAAATCCACAAAACAAAACCGGTTATATCAAATCTAACCGATAACCCAACTCTCAAATCTCAGGTCGGGTCGGAAAAACCGGTTTGGTTTTTAATCGCATGCCTACTTTGAAAGTTACAGATAAGCTTTCCCAAGTGGAAATCTCTTTTTTACCAATAGAGGTTTCCTATAAGACTGGGTGTTCCGTAAAATAACGCAGTTAGACTAGACTCCACCGCACTGGTTCATTCATAGAGATAGAGGCTCACTCGTATGGATGCTAAACTAATACTAACAAATCATGAATTAGTAGTAACAATGAAAAACAGTAACACCGGCCCAAAAGAAGAACATTTGGTGTGAATTTTTTCTTTTTTCTGCTATGCACTGAACTTAGTTTTTCCTGTGGCTGTGGGTGAAACAATTTTAACCATTTACAAATGGATGCTAAAAATTTTAAAAAAAAACAAAAAAAACTACCAAAAATAAAACTAATTCAGCTACGGCAGCGAAGGTCGATGATCTTGCCTTTCCCCTTCTACATGTCTTGGAGAAGGACCAAACATGCTCAAGAACACCTTCATCATCCATTCAAACCAATCATTTCCCATGTCAGAACAACAACAAATCTAACAAGAATGAATGTATATCTGAATGATCATGACTTACCGGTAAAAATACAAGGCCGTGCAAGAAACCGAGGAGGACTAGTGCCAGATACATCTTGAAGTAGTAGACCTGTCGGGAAAAACAAAAAAAACAAATTAAGAAGCCAAATGCGAAAAGGGCAAGGAGAAAAAACAATTGGATCACAATTCACAAGCACATACCACAAAGACTTCTGATCTTGAGAAACCGAGCACAATCACCCCAACTAGCTTCGTCAATGTAATTCCGCTGCCAACAGTACATGATACACACATTATAATGGGGAAAGAGAGTCGTCGTTCTGGTGTTCTATTTTTAATGTTCTTGATTCTTAATTCTATCTATTGGTTGGACGTGGCAGAATTGAACCAACAAACTAAGGATTTGAGAGCATGCTTTTAAGTTCATTAGTCGAGTTGAGACTTGAGAGTGACAAATACCTGAAAACTGAAGCTCCCATCCCACCCAACGCCTCTTTCATCCGATGGTTTCTGTCCCCAGTGCTTATCTGAGCATTTAGGAAAGTGCCGTCAGAATGACAATAGCAAATTGGTTGTGAATACTGCTAATACAGACAGAGGGAACTGACCGAGAAAGCGTGTGTTATGTGCACACAAAACTCAACCGCTATGCCCACGGACATGATTAGATTTACAACCGATAGTGCGTTTAGCTGGATATGAAAGACTGCCATAACTCCCTAGAAAATTATCAAATCAAGTGGTCATAGGGTATAACATTAGTAACCTGAGTATATGAAAACAGTTATCGGTTTTTTTCATGAGTAACAATGAGAGTGAATTACCAAGAGATCAATAATGATCATTGCGATCACCAGCAAAATAATTGCGGAGCTCCAAAAGCTGAGTCAGAAAACAGACAGAGGAAAAAGATATGTAGAATCAGATTTAACCATATCTAGCTAGAAAACTATGGTTAACACAGAGGTTTGAGTAAATTTCAGTGGGAATGAGCTTTAGAGTGATACCTGCATGTGATGATTAAACACACGACAAACACGGCAGCTGTAAAATGATGGAACTTTCAAAGTCAGCTCATTTATTAAGTCAAAAAGTAGAATCAAGACCTACCAACTAGCTACTCAAGCTAAGATCTGGGATTAGAAGATTTCCGAACCAATGGCTATGGAGAGGTTGATTAGTGCAGTTTTCCATATGTCAAGATATTGCTCAAAGAACATATAAAACACTGAATATGGATATATCTCCATCTGAAAGAGAATAAACTACAAGTTAGACATTAAGTTCACTAAGAACAAACTTTAGCAGGGACCATGATGAGGATGAATTATTGAGACAAGTTTGTGCAGATCCATTAAGAAAAATGAAAGACGATGATCCAACGAGATATATTAAAGGGAGAAAAATATGAGGTTTTTGATCAAGAAGATACCAAAAAATGAAAGCATGCGACTTGCATCAATAAGTATAGTCTAGTAGTATATTATTTTTACCTTTAAGGAACGGGAAACTTTTGCACTAAATTCTTGAGCAGCTCTCATTGAATTAACAAAGTCAGCCTGAAAACAAACTTGCAGTATAAAGTAACACGATAATAGAGAGTTATATCAAACATGGCAAAGTTGCTCTATATATTATGAGATGGCAAAGCACCTGCTTGTTAAGGGGTGTGTGATAAGTGCGGAACGATGAAGCTTGAATGATACCATTTTCATAGCCTGATAAGAAAATTGAACATACATATATCAGACTGGGTATCTACAATGGCAGAATCGATGACTATAAAATAGATTAAGAAAGAGAGAGGGGACAGTGCAAAAACCTTGCAAATCAACACTACTAGAATAAGCACCATGTCCACCTTTAGCACAATCAGCGGAAGGAAGTGCGTTGAGGAACCAAGGAAGTTTCTCTTTGAATTGGGTTGTGGATGGGCGGTCACTACTTAAATCTGCATGACGGAAGCACTGGACAACCATAAAAGAACAAAATTTAACAAGTCATCATCACAGATGTTGCGGAGAGTAACAAGTACATAGCACAGACAATGGTAATTAATTCGATCAGATCATAAGAGTAAATTACCGTGGTACAATCTTTGCATACTTCACTTAGGCCACAGCTGCCTTGATCAGGAAAGCAACAAGGAGGCTGAAAATGCAACACAAATACAAGGACATTAGCCTTCAGTGAGTCATAATTTTCTCTACACATTTTGATCATAATATTTTGGACCTCAGGAATAAGTATGATATTTTATACCAATGTGCTACTTTTTTAATTAATTTTCCAACACTTGGAAGAGTGTGATAAGAGCATATCACATCCTAAGCCCTTAACCAAGCCCATCGGTAGAAACCATCCAAATGCTAGCTTATGAGTTGGGTTGCCCATGTGACTTTTAAGTTTTAACAGAATGCATTGAATAATGTGGGACATTAGAAATGCTTATAAAAATCGAAGCTACTTTTTTATGCATGTCAGTTCATTCAACTCCACTTATGTTTGTAGCTGTAAATGGGACCACGAAATTTAAAGTATCTTGACTCTAAACCTCGGCAGTGAAATTAAAACATATACCTACCTGGTCATCAGGGGGGCAAAAGGTACCATTTGTAAACTTTCGGCAACAGCCAAACGCCTCGGGAGATAACCACACGAGAAAGTCATCAAGCCATGAAGCAGCTGGCTTAGCTATGTAGCTTAGTTCTGGAGTCAAAGAAGCCCTTGCAATCTATGGACAATAATGAAATTTAGATCCTCAAAAAGAATAAGAACAGATACTCTGCTAACAATGTGCCTATTCAATTGCTAAAACATAATTAATGCCAACAGCTAAAGAAGCTGTCGCAGTTAGTAGTACAATGTCTTAAATTCTTGTGAGAAAAATATATATTATTACTTTTTTTCCACATTGACTTGTGGAACATATTAAGAATGTTAGCAATAACAAATTTCAGTAGGTATTAAAGTCAATTCCAGGTTATATACAGACTTAGACTTACCAAACTATCAATTTGAATAGTAAAAATCTTGAAATAAATGCGATTGTAATGTGTCAAAAGTGGATAGTGAGACTTTCTCCAAATGTACAAGAAAACATAGTATGGATATATATATATACAGCTAACCAAATCAATATGAGGAGAAATGAAAATAAATGCAGACGAGATATATACCTCATTTAAAAGAGAGTTAGAATCACACTTGTTAATGGAACAAAGTTGATTAGTCTGTCTTGATTCTGAGCTGAGACATGAGGCAAATAGGGTTTCAGTAATAAGTTGGACCAAATTCTGTCAGCTAAACGCTTACACAGCTAAGAGAAACAGAACGTGAGATACCTATAGTTATAATTCTTCAGAACAAAGTATAAAGGTGGACCAATACGAAGATATGTTGAAATATTGTTGAAGTAACCCTACAAGGAAATGCGGGGCACTTGTTAGATATCCTAGATTCGATACTTTACATTAGTAAGATCAATGTAAACCTGAAGATATGAGTCTTGAGGAAGAACAATCTGTTGCTCCAAACCAGGCTCAATCCGAGTGGACAATGCCTACATGGTCCACGAACAGGATAAATAAGAGATGATGCAACTGCTAACTGGACAATATAACATTTTTCTTATGTGTCAGAAATGTATCAACTCACAATTCCAGCCATAGCTAAGCCAAAGAAGAAGGCAATAACCAATATTTTGACTGCCCAATGGCTAAGAACGGGTGCATGGACTTCCTGAAAGTGTAGAATGAAGCATACAAATTTCAAAATAACTTTCATAAATTGAAAAATTGCCTAGACTAAAATACATGCAAGGTTCAACGTAAAATGTACTTTTTAAAAGAAATCTCAATTATGTAGAACAGAAACCACATGTCTTATGGTTTATTAGGAGGTAAATAAGTTGATTATTGAAGTACCTTCATATATCGAGTCAAAAGGCCAGCTTTTCTCTGACCAACCCCTGAAAGTGACACGAGAGAACTCCAATGAAAATTTGATTCCACAAAATTCTACAATGAGTAAGGATACGATGATACATCAAAACCCAAAAGTGAGTACCTTTGTCAGCACTATTAGATGATTTCGATGTCTTAATACATGGGAAGCAATCAACACGCTTATCCTCTGTCCGTTGGAAGTCAAAAACTATCAAAGCTACAAACGCAGTAATCTGGAGAAGAAAGTCCAAAAGGACAGCCAATGCTGCAAGCATGATGCATAGACTCGTTAAAAATTCATAAGGTAGATAATGAAAGCATTCACACTGAATACTGAAGAGTTTTACTAACCAGCAAACATGGAGAACACTCGAACAGCTGGCATTTTAATAAAAGCACCAACAGCAAAAGCTAAAATCTCGGCTAAACTTGCAAGAGTAATCGATGGTCCAACTTCCATAAGGGCATTGCTTATTCGTCTTTCCAAAGGCAGCTCTTGCTCTTGCCTCTTCACAGCATGAACCAGTATGCACATATTATCAACACCGACCTGTCGATAAATATTTCATGTAGAAGTAAAGAAAAATTAAGAACAAGATGAAGAATGTCGGCCACAACATCAGCTACATATTTAAGTTGCAAGCAATATTAGACACAGACACGACTTACAGCCAAAACAAGAAAAGGTATAACTTCCATTATTATAAGAGTCGATTTCATCCCAACGGCACTGAAAAATCCTACAGAGCCGAGGACGGAAAGCATGACAAGTAGAACACCAGATAGACCAAGCAGAACCTGAAATTAAGAAGGTTACATTTCAGAATAAAGAATAAAGAAAGATGTCCTTTGAAGTTTGAAAGTAACTTCATTAAGAGTATCAGAGTACCACTATAATTCAGAGATTTTAACCATGAATCATTATCATACCTTGGATGTTATGTAAAAGGAATTTAAGCGAGGTGAATCTCCAAGTGTGAGTGATATATAGGCAAACATGACAAGATAACTTATCTGAAGCATTGAAACAGGAGAAATAGAAGACATGAAAGACATATTAGAAACCCAAAAACAAAAATTAGAAGCAAAAGAAAAGAAGATACAATAAGGAAACTCACGGCTATAGTTATGACATCTGCTGTGCTTTCTCTTTTCAATTCTTCTTCAATAGAACTTTCCGAAGAGAAAGAAAGAGTTAAATTCTTTGCTTTAACCATTGGCAACAACTCATCCTGTCACATAAAGAGTACTAATGTAAATGAAGGAACAAGTACATCACGAAAATAATGAACTAAAATAGCATTAAGATATCATTTTTTTAGTATCGAAAATTCCCAACCTTGGCCAGTTGGATAAAGGCTTTCTCCCATGCTACTGCTTTCTCAGTTTTGTTACCTTTATTGTCAACAGCATTGTCCACAGGATAAGTCACAAGAAAAGCAGAAGCCTGTCCTAAGCAATGTCAATTTAAGGGGTATTAGATACTCATATGTATTGACTTACTCTGTGTAGTTACTCAAACAAACTGAAGAATACTACCTCACTGAAACTGTTCCCTGAGAAACCTCCTAGTGCAGTAGTTGGATCCAGTGGACCCTTAAATGCACTCAAACATGAATCGGTCGAGGTGAAATGCTGAAGAAAAGTAGTAAGCATATTATAAAATGGTTAAATATCTATTATTAAAAAACCGCCATAAAGACAGAATTATTCAAACTAGACAAAATAGAGTAAAAATGTGGAATGCAGTTATGAAGATGTTAACCATGAAAAAAAAACATGAAATGTAACATAAAAGGTACCTCAAAGCAATATTTAACATGATCGACGCCTCCAAAGTCGTCATAATTTTCTGGTTTCATCTTGAAATACTGCCTCCAAAAGCAAGAAAATCCACCAGATACGTTAGGGACTATTGGTCAAGTGAGGAAAAGCTAAACTCTAGTACTATAAATTAGGAAGGAGTGCAACCTGCAGAACACTCTGTGTGGCACAATCCTCTCCCAGGGGTTTCATGCAGATATCTGTCAGAGAAACCATTGAACCTGAGTGATTTGCCCGAAGTCCATCGACCTACCATATTAAACAACTCTTTACATGTCCGGTACATAAAAACATTATGCGGGTGATTAGATGGATTTGAAAACAGTTGGGAGAAAGCAGATACCTTCTTTTGTATGTCAAAAAGTAACTTAATATTGTCATCTGTCAAAATCTCTGGCGCCTTTTCGTGAGAAGATTTTTGAACTGTTGCTATTATTAGCTGCAGAAATTTCCCCAGAAGAGAAGCTTAATGTTTAGTCCCCCATATGAAAAACAAAGGCTGCATAATCCAGCACCCCGAAGAACTTTAAGTTACAGAGACAAGCTGATAGAAATGTGAAACCTGTTCAATTCTGTAGAAAGGAGCAAGATGGGTGTCAAAGAATTGTTTCTCTTGAGCAGCTCTGCTCCCTGATCCTACCCATAGCTGCAGCATACAATAAGAAAACATTTACCGGAAAGCTTAATAAAGGTTGCATATAGCATAACTTGTAAGAGCAATACGCAAGAGGAAAACAAATTCAAGTACATACCTTATCAGGCCGTGTCTCCACTTTGAATCGGATCAGACCCACACAAAGGAGAAGAACTACAGAGACTGACAAACACAAAACAAGAGTTGGGTGTCTTGCTACCCAAATCCCATACTTCCTGGAAACAAATAACACAACAATGTCAACAATCCTATTTTAAAGCTAAGTAAAGAAATGTATGAATTTCAAGTACCTGTAAAAATTGGCCAAGTGTCCTTGTACTGTCGATAGCTGACCCCAGTTTCTCTGTGGAGTATTTTGTAACATCTGAGAGAACCACAAAAGAAAACATAACAAAGCAATGAGCATCCCAATTAATAATCAGCAGCTCAAACTTCAAATGTTATAGTGTTGCAATGCTAAGCACAAATACCTGTGCATGGATAGTGTCTGGTTTTTGCAAATTAGCAGAATTTTGCTCTCCACCAGCTTCTGACGATGGTCTCATCTGTGAGGTCTTTTTCTTCCCCCTTACTCGGTGAAGTAAACCGCCTCCGAGAAACAGTGAAACCAATACAATATACACAATGGCTAGTATGAAGTCAACACATTTCGCCTGCATGATTGACCACCAGGACCATATTAAGCAACACTTCATCATCACAAGCATTCGTAAAAAAAAAATCTGTATTCACCTCAAGTGATCCAATTTTGATAGAACAAGAGTGCTTTTTCTGAGTAGGAACTTCTGCTTTACTGGAGCAAGTAGCTGCAGAAGGACAATCACCACAAGAACAGCCAAGAGACTCATCACCGCATGAATAAGTAGACACATTCATAGGCCTCATTCCAGATGACACAGGTGGTGTTGGCAAAAACGCAATCCCATACGGTGAGCCTGGCACATTGACACCCGCTTTCTGACCAATAAATGCAAACCACTCTGATGACACAACAGACATCTCAGTTATTCCAAGATAAGATAAGGATACTCAATTGAACTAGTCTTGAGACATATCAAAAAAAAAAACATCCTACCCTTAAAATTCTTTGCACCGGCTCCGAGAAAGTCTAAAGCTCGGCTATTAGAGCTACCAAATTTCACATTTTTGCAAGATTCATACATCCCCGCTCCAAAATCATCAGTTATATAGTACTGAATCCCATCTACAGTCGAATTATTCTTGACCTGCCAAACAAAACACAGAACTTCGACATATAAAGTACTCAACTTTGAAGCAATTAGACAATGCATCATTCAAAAAGTTGTTACCTTTGTAGTAGAAGTTACATTGATAAATAAACTCTGATCCGGAGAACAAGTAAGTTCACAGAAAAGATTCAGAAAATTCCTCAAACATGCTGGGCAACCTACAATAAAAGGAATAGCCTGACAAAACAAAGACCACACACATTTCAAATTTCAGTAGATAAATCTTGAATCTTGAAAAAGAAGAGATTCAAAGAATGGTTTTGGTACCTGTTGAACTTGTGAACGTAATGTATCAAATTGAGTCTCTGTGCAACAAACATTGCCAGTGATTGTTGGACATAAGCTTTGAATCTTTGAAGATAACAAATCATCAGGCTAGAAGAAGAAGAAGAAAAGAGCATTAGTAGAGAAACAAAATCATCTTTTTGAGCAAAAAAATAAAAAACACTGACCTTCACAGCAGGAATGTTGAAAGGGCAATTTAGTACTTTCCCATCACTTCTTGCTCCACAGATATCATACATTGCACAGTATCCGGCTGATTGTTTTGCTTCCACTCCATAACCAACAAACAGAATCTGCATTGGTACAAAACACACAACAACGACAATTGTATAATTAATTTTACATAATACTCCTTAGCAAACAATTATTAAAAAAAAAAAATCTACTATATAAATTTCAAATACAAAAAAAAAAAAAAAAAAAAAGTAAAAAGTTTGTATATCAATGCTAATCATCGATACAGAAACTAATAGAAAAATTGGATTTGACAAAAATAAAATCCCAAGATTTGAATAATCTTTTTTTTCGATAAATCACAATTTGTATAATGATAAATCACAGAATAGAGAAATTCGATTTCAAAAAAAAATATAATCCACTAAAAAAAATTCAAACACAAGAAGTTTATAGAATCAAATGCAAAAACATCGCTACAATCCAAATTGAAAATCTTCAAACAAAAAAAATTGCAGAAACAAATTTTGCCTGGAGAAGAAAATTGATTGAAAGAAATCGAAAGAAGAAAAAAAAAAAACAGAGAGAATTAAAACTTTCCAGGAGAAGAAGAATCGATGAAACAATCCTCATAATTTCTTCGTCGGCGATTTGATTTTTCACCTTTCACCGACAAAACGATGCGAAGTTATTTCGAAAATCTCAACAGAATTTCATCAGAAGGACGAAACTGGCGTAGAAGAAAGTAACAGAGAGAGAGAGAGAGAAGGAGTCAAAGGTGTGAAGAGGTTTTATAGTTTATAGAAATGTGTTTTTTATATATACATTACACACTGTGCTTACAAGGCTTCTGCCATTTTCAGGTCCTAGGGATGTGAAAGCAAATGTGTATTTACTATTTTACCCTCGCTTTCGGTTTGTTTATTTTACCCTGTGCTTACGTGTATTTTTTTGTCGTGGAATGATGTATAGAGAAAGAGGATTACGCGGTTCCTTCGGAAACAGATTTTTGTTTCTTTCTTTTGGAATTAATTGATTTTTAGTTTTGTTTAGGTGTTGAATTACTGGAACTCTGGAATTTTTGGTTTAGTTTTTAAGTGTTTAAAATTTATACATCTGTTAACTTTGGTTTTTTTCCTAAAACTAAATATAATAATTTTAGAAAACAATCTGTCATTATTTAGGAATACCTTTTAATATCCACCCAAAAAAAAAAGTAATACTTTTCTAAAAAATATTATTCAAAATTCAATGTAATTGTTGGAGATAAATGTTTAGTACCACGATGGCAAATATTTTGTTATATTTTTATTAACTTTTTAAAGCGGTATATAAATATATATTACGCATACGGGTTTTATATGAGAATGTATCTTTTTATCTTTCCAAAAAATCTGTGAAACAACGAGTAATATTTTCGACTATATTTCAATATAAGCATTCAGATTTTCAGTTTTATTATTTTTTTTGTAAGCTACTTAAACACGGGTCTAAGCATGACAAAACGTTGATAAACATAAAATGCTATCATTTTTACTATTTACATGCATCTAGCAGATATGATAAATCCAACGCCTAGGGGCTAAAACGCCTAATCGAAGTTTTTATCGTAATGCATGATCATCGCAATCGCTAAAAAAACTATATCGTAATACATAATATTATAGATAAGATAATGTCCTTCATTGTACGAAATAAGATGGTTTATATGAGGTTTTGACATAAGCTCCTAGACCGGATTTTAAGTATGTAAGAGAATTGGTGGTTCTTATCGTAATGCATGATCATCACAATCGCAAGAAAAACTATATCTAAAATATTTTTTTGTCTGCCATTAACTTGGAACCACGTGCTATCCAAAGCTAAATGCAGTGGGTATAATAGATGGTTGGATCGAATTGAACTTAATTGTTGAACAATGAGTGACCAATTGTAACATGTTTTGGGGGATCTAATGACTTGACATCAATAGTTCAAACTTGATTAAATATCTTTTGCAATATGTCAAATCCTTTAAACATTTGTTTAGTATACATGTGAGCGATGATCGTGCCTCTATTATTTTGGGCAAACCGATGATTTTATTACAATTAGGCCTTAAATTCTTTAAAAAGAAGAGGGATTACATCCAAATGAGAAGAAATACAACCAACATAAGGGAATAATATGAAAGTGAGGCAACAAATGCCAAAAAGACCACCAAACAATGGTTAAACAAGAGATATATATGATCGTGCCTCTATATACATTAACTTTTATTTCTCGTTGATATTTTGTCAAACTCGTGGTAGGCATCCTACTTGGAGGAATAGTGAGAATATCAGAGTTTGGGAAACTGGTTTCTTGTGACTCAAAGTAGAGAAGGATTACATTGGCATTTTGAGAGTCCATGGAGAGATGAACATGAATTCAATTTGCCATAAACTCTTCCATCGGTGAGGCGTCCAAGGCCCATCATCAATACTATTAATTGGGAATCATTCTAACTTAAATAACGTTATAAAGTGTAAGATCTATACTAGTATTTTTGTAATACTTTGGTGATGGGTGGGTAAAAATGCTCTCGGGTTATTTGGATATCCAACCCGTTTCAAAAAATCCTTCACAAAAAAATTGTTGGGTCGGGTTATAATTTTATAATTGTTTGGTGTATATCGTTCCAATTTTATCGGATGTTCTCGAAATACACAGATTTCTTTGATATATATTAATTAGGGAAATTTTGTCAAGATTGGTATAACCTCTTAAAATAAAATTAACATGTCACAAACTAGAATACCAGGTAAATCTCGAGTCGGTTAGGTTTGACTCGATCTGTATGAAACAAACAAGTGTATTTCACCTATTTTCTTGATATTTTGTTATAGTTTGTCGACATGTTAATTTCTAAGCATTGCAAGAGAAAAAAATGATTGTTTGCTAAATTCAACAAACTTTATAATCTACGGATTTAATTTAAATTTATGTTTTCTTATCTTTTCATAACGACTAACGAGTGTAAAAGAGATATGGTTAGTTTCAAATTCATAAAACTCACACGTGAGTAAATTTTAATATATGTTTTAAGTATAAGACTCGATCATGTCCTCTTAAGAGTATCATGGAACTCTTAAAAATAGGGACGACCTACTAGCCTAGATCAATTAACCATGAAAATAGTTGGATGGATTTCATTTATTGATGGTCATAATAATACTTTGTACAACTCATTGACAAGAACTCAAGTAGCGATGGTCTTACTAATCAAGTTATTTAGACGACTACAATGTCTTGTTCAAATGTCTCTGTAAAGTGTAAATGGCTCATGACAGGACTAAAAGTAATACCAAACAGTGACAAAAAGAAAATTTTCTAAATTAGTTACATGTTGATGCCAAGATAGCGACAATTAATCGATATTTTTATACTTTGATTTTAGGAATGTGAAGGTACATGTCGAAAGATTTAAGAAAATTAATTTGGTTACATATGATACAAATTCTTCTTATTTTTGAGTCGGACATCTTGTAAGAACTCCAATATTAAATTTTGAGCTGAAACAATTTTAAGATATGTGACTTACCAAGAAATAAGTTTCGGTACTGTGTAAGTGAAAACAATCATAAGAAAATATTGCGTGATAATTTGTAGGGTCAATAAACAAATTTTCGAAACCTCCAAAAATAGTGCACTGACTATTAGTCAAAAGTAAAAACCCACACATCAAAATAGAACGTGAAGATCATATACGGTGGCGATCGTAGCATTACATATACATTTATACTGTATATTCAATTTAATAAATAAGATAAAATTTAATTGGGAAAAATGTTAAAAAAATCATGAACTTTCGAATTTGGGACGAAAAAATCATGAACTTCTGAAATGCCATTAAAATCGTAAAGTTTGGTTTGACTTTCGATAAAATGGTCAAGTTTCGTTGACTTTGCCATTTCGGGCATGTCGTTAAGTTTCCGTTAACAAGAAGATCACGGGGTTAACTTTCTGTTATCAGTTTCCGTTACAAGTTAAACGACGTCGTTTTGAAATTAAAAATAAAAGATGAAACGCGAGCCCATGAGGAATTGAACTGGTGTCCTTGGGGATTCATAACACACACTCAAGCATTGGGCCACAATAACATTTAAATAAAATATAAAACAGTTCTATATATATACCATATAAATACGCAATTAATAAAAATAACCAAAGTAAAAAATCAATAACCAAATATGTACAAATATTAAATACACCTACCATAAATATATATTTCGAAATTATAAAGGTTCATTATTAGATATAAACATTTCTTCTATATTAAATGCATTGAATTTAAATTATTCTTTCTTAAATTTTATAAAAAATGAAACTTATGAAATATAGAAAATTAAATATATTGCATCTAATTATGAATATCACATTGATTTGAAGATGGAATGATAATCTTTTATATTTATCTTATATATATTATACTATAAATACAAATTAATTTATCAAATATATATGGATAAATAAAATTATTTATAACGTTAAATTGAATAAAATTCTATGTGCATGTATATACTAATCCTATATTTATTTGTGAAGGATTGTGTAAATTTTGGGTAATTTTCTAATTCCATAAGTTTCAGTTTTTTTTTTATAAGAAAATTAAGAAAAAATAATTTTTCAGATGAAAATTCAATGCATTTCGAAAAAATCTTTATATATAAAGTTAAATATCTGAAATTTTGAAATATATTAATATGGTAGGTGTATTTATTATTTGTGCATGTTTGGTTATTGATTTTTTTACTTTGGTTAATTTTAATAATTGCATATTTATATGGTATATATATAGATCTGTTTGATATTATATTAAAAAGTTATTGTTGCTCAATGGTTGAGTGCATATTATAAATCTAGAAGGTCACGAGTTCGACTCTTCATAGACTCTCATTTCATTTTTTATTTTTAATTTCAAAACGACGTCGTTTCGCTTGTAACGGAAACTGATAACGGAAAGTTAACCCCGTGATCTTCTTGTTAACGGAAACTTAACGATATGCCCGAAATGGCAAAGTCAACGAAACTTGATCATTTTATCGAAAGTCAAACCAAACTTTACGATTTTAATAACATTTCGAAAGTTCATGATTTTTTCGTCCCAAATTCGAAAGTTCATGATTTTTTTGACATTTTATAGTTCATCAAAAAATACATTTCATTATAATATATATAGTGTGTGTTCCGTTTTCTTTTTCCTTATGCATTGAACTTCACAATTAAAATTATTTGTAGTTCGATCTGTAAAACCCACGGTTTAAAAAAAAAACAGATATAGGATTGAATTGTAGGACATTAGTTTTAAGCTAACCGATTGGTCGAAAGTAAAAACAAAAAAAAACAAAAAAAAGAACTAAAACAAAATATACATCCAGAAACAGTATAAACAATAGACTAATCAATCCATATTTTAGTATCTTCATGTGCAAGGATGACCTACCTATGTGGCTATGACTAAGAGTAAGACCTACATGGTTTTTTTTAATTTCTTTCTATATATATAGTGAGTTTCAGACTTTCAGGTAGAGAAACCATATTTTTTTAAAAAATGAGTATTTGGTATCAAAGAAACACCACCTAGAGAATTTAACTTTCGAAAATCAATACCCGTCTCAAACACCAACCCATCGATTGTGGAAAATAAAAAAATGTGAGTGGGTGTGCATATGTGTCATGTATACCTCTTTGTATCTTCCATCATCACTATCATACATCACCCACGATTTTAATTATTCTATATTAATATTATCCAAAAAAAATTAGTACAACAACAAAAATT